TCCAGTACGTAGTTTGGAAGTTAGGAGGAGGTGCGGGATTACCAAAACTGTTGTCCAGAGGGCTGAGGAAGGGTTGTTGAGGTGGTTCGGACATGTAGAGAGAATGGAGCGAAACAGAGTGACTTCAAGAGTGTATCAGTCTGTAGTGGAAGGAAGGCGGGGTAGGGGTCGGCCTAGGGAAGGTTGGAGGGAGGGGGTAAAGGAGGTTTTGTGTGCGAGGGGCTTGGACTTCCAGCAGGCATGCGTGAGCGTGTTTGATAGGAGTGAATGGAGACAAATGGTTTTTAATACTTGACGTGCTGTTGGAGTGTGAGCAAAGTAACATTTATGAAGGGTTCAGGGAAACCGGCAGGCTGGACTTGAGTCCTGGAGATGGAAGTACAGTGCCTGCACTCTGAAGGAGGGGTGTTAATGTTGCAGTTTAAAAACTGTAGTGTAAATCACCCTTCTGGCAAGACAGTGATGGAGTGAATGATGGTGAAAGTTTTTCTTTTTCGGGCCACCCTGCCTTGGTGGGAATCAGCCAGTGTGATAATAAATAATAAAAAATTTTTATTACAGTATTTATCCATCATGCTAATGGTTAAGTAACTGACTTTGGAATCCTAAATAAATTTATTTGCAAAGTGCAAAGCAGACATGACAAAAATTTAGATAAATTGTAGTTTTTACTAATTCCAAGATTTTTTTTCCTTTTTTTTTTTTTTTTTTTTTTTTTTAACAAGTCGGCCATCTCCCACTGAGGCATGGTGACCCAAAAAGAAAGAAAATCCCCAAAAAGAAAATACTTTCATCATCATTCAACACTTTCAACTCACTCACACATAATCACTGTTTTTACAGAGGTGCTCAGAACACGACAGTTTAGAAGCATATACAGTGGACCCCCGACAAACGATCTTTTTTCATTACAGAAGTATGTTCAGGTACCAGTACTGACCGACTTTGTTCCCATAAGGAATATTGTGAAGTAGATTAGTCCATTTCAGACCCCCAAACATACACGTACAAACGCACTTACATAAATACACTTACATAATTGGTCGCATTTGGAGGTGATCGTTAGTCGGGGGTCCACTGTACGTATAAAGATACACAACATATCCCTCCAAACTGCTAATATCCCGAACCCCTCCTTTAGAGTGCAGGCATTGTACTTCCCATTCCCAGGACTCAAGTCCGGCTATATAAAAGTAACTGGTTTCCCTGAATCCCTTCACTAAATATTACCCTGCTCACACTCCAGCAGATCCTCAGGTCCCAAATACCATTCGTCTCCATTCACTCCTATCGAACACGCTCATGCACGCTTGCTGGAAGTCCAAGCCAACAAAACCTCCTTTACCCCTTCCTTCCAATCTTTTCGAGGACAACCCCTACCCCGCCTTCCTTCTCCTACAGATTTATACGCTCTCCATGTCATTCTACTTGGATCCATTCTTTCTAAATGACCAAACCACCTCAACAATCCCTCTTCAGCCCTCTGACTAATACTTTTATTAACTCCACACCTTCTCCTAATTTCCACACTCCGAATTCTCTGCATAATATTTACACCACACATTGCCCTTAGACAGGACATCTCCACTGCCTCCAACTGCCTCCTCGCTGCTGCATTCACAACCCAAGCTTCACACCCATATAAGAGTGTTGGTACTACTATACTTTCATACATTCCCTTCTTTGTCTCCATAGATAGCTTTTTTTGACTCCACATATACCCCAACGCACCACTCACCTTTTTTCCCTCATCAATTCTATGATAAACCTCATCATTCATAAATCCATCTGCCGACACATCAACTCCCAAGTATCTGAAAACATTCACTTCTTCCATACTCCTCCTCCCCAATTTGATATCCAATTTTTCTTTATCTAAATCATTTGATACCCTCATCACCTTACTCTTGTCTATGTTCACTTTCAACTTTCTACCTTTACACACACTCCCAAACTAATCCACTAACCTTTGCAATTTTTCTTTAGAATCTCCCATAAGCACAGTATCATCAGCAAAAAGAAACTGTCAGTTCCCATTTTGTATTTGATTCCCCATAATTTAATCCCACCCCTCTCCCGAACACCCTAGCATTTACTTCTTTTAAAACCCCATCTATAAATATATTAAACAACCATGGTGACATTACATATCCCTGTCTAAGACCTACTTTTACTGGGAAGTAGTCTCCCTCTCTTCTATACACCCTAACCTGAGCCTCACTATCCTCATAAAAACTCTTAACAGCATTTAGTAACTTACCACCTATTCCATATACTTGCAACATCTGCCACATTGCTCCCCTATCCACTCTATCATATGCCTTTCCTAAATCCATAAATGAAATAAAAACTTCCCTACCTTTATCTAAATACTGTTCACATATTTGCTTCAATGTAAACACTTGATCTACACATCCCCTACCCACTCTGAAACCTCCTTGCTCATCCACAATCCTACATTCTGTCTTACCTCTAATTCTTTCAATAATAACCCTACCGTTCACTTTTCCTGGTATACTCAGTAAACTTATTCCTCTATAATTTTTACACTCTCTTTTGTCCCCCTTCCCTTTATATAATGGGACTATACATGCTCTCCGCCAATCCCTAGGTACCTTCCCCTCTTTCATACATTTATTAAACAAAATTGCCAACCACTCCAACACTATATCTCCCCCTGCTTTTAACATTTCTGTCATGATCCCATCAATTCCAGCTGCTTTACCCCCTTTCATTTTACATAATGCCTCACGTACCTCCCCCACACTTACATTCTGCTCTTCACTCCTAAAAGATGGTATACCTCCCTGGCCAGTGCATGAAATTACCGCCTCCCTTTCTTCCTCAACATTTAAAAGTTCCTCAAAATATTCTCGCCATCTACCTAATACCTCCCCCCTCCCATCTACTAACTCCCCTACTCTGTTTTTAACTGACAAATCCATACGTTCCCTAGGCTTTCTTAACTTCTTTAACTCGCTCCAAAATTTTTTCTTATTTTCATTAAAATTTCTTGACAGTGCCTCTCCCACTCTATCATCTGCTCGTCTTTTGCACACTCTCACCACTCTCTTCACCTTTCTTTTACTCTCCATATACTCTGCTCTTCTTGTAACACTTCTGCTTTGTAAAAACCTCTCATAAGCTAACTTTTTTTCTTTTATCACACCCTTTACTTCATCATTCCACCAATCACTCCTCTTTCCTCCTGCCCCCACCCTCCTATAACCACAAACTTCTGCTCCACATTCTAATACTGCATTTTTAAAACTCCTCCAACCCTCTTCAACCACCCCACTACTCATCTTTGCACTAGCCCACCTTTCTGCCAATAGTCGCTTATATCTCACCCGAACTTCCTCCTCCCTTAGTTTATACACTTTCACTTCCCTCCTACTTGTTGTTGCCACCTTCCTCTTGTCCCATCTACCTCTTACTGTAACTGTAGCTACAACTAAATAATGATCCGATATATCAGTTGCCCCTCTATAAACATGTACTGTAGGGCCCCACTTATACAGCAGGTTAGGTTCTGGGCTACTGTAGGGCCCCACTTATACAGCAGGTTAGGTTCGGGGCTACTGTAGGGCCCCACTTATACTGCAGGTTAGGTTCGGGGCTACTGTAGGGCTCCACTTACACAGCAGGTTAGGTTCGGGGCTACTAGCCCAGAACCTAACCTGCTGTATAAGTGGGGCCCTACAGTAGCCCTGAACCTAACCTGCTGTATAAGTGGGGCCCTACAGTAGCCCCGAACCTAACCTGCTGTATAAGTGGGGCCCTACAGTAGCCCAGAACCTAACCTGCTGTATAAGTGGGGCCCTACAGTAGCCCCGAACCTAACCTGCTGTATAAGTGGGGCCCTACAGTAGCCCAGAACCTAACCTGCTGTATAAGTGGGGCCCTACAGTAGCCCCGAACCTAACCTGCTGTATAAGTGGGGCCCTACAGTAGCCCCGAACCTAACCTGCTGTATAAGTGGGGCCCTACAGTAGCCCCGAACCTAACCTGCTGTATAAGTGGGGCCCTACAGTAGCCCAGAACCTAACCTGCTATATAAGTGGGGCCCTACAGTAGCCCAGAACCTAACCTGCTGTAAAAGGGTGGGGCCCTACAGTAGCCCAGAACCTAACCTGCTGTATAAGTGGGGCCCTACAGTAGCCCAGAACCTAACCTGCTGTATAAGTGGGGCCCTACAGTAGCCCAGAACCTAACCTGCTGTATAAGTGGGGCCCTACAGTAGCCCAGAACCTAACCTGCTGTATAAGTGGGGCCCTACAGTAGCCCAGAACCAAACCTGCTGTATAAGTGGGGCCCTACAGTAGCCCAGAACCTAACCTGCTGCATAAGCCGACCACCGGTATTGCAAGTGTATCTTTATCTAGTATTTACATTAGTTATACCCACCCTCACACTATCATTGCTCTGGGCTTGCTAAGGGTTCAGGCTTGATGTTGCCAGTTATATTCATATAAATCATGCACACTTTTGATATTTTGAGGTGTCTAGTTTTGACTCAATCACAATCACTAGTCATAATTCAATATTGAATATATGGTTATTGCCACTAACCACAGTCACAATGAATTTCTTGAGAGTTTATTTCATTGCTAACACCTAGAAATTTAAATATATAGGAGAACAATTTCTAACAATCACTGTACACATCACTGCAGAGTAGCACGTGCTGCGTGTGCTACTAGGATAAAGCGGCACTGACAAAAAGTGAGAGGTAGTTGTTAGAGGTGGCAATAAGGTTTGGGCATAAAAATGGCTTTAAATACTTTGTAATTGTTGACAATGTGTAGTGTGGAACCTTCATAAAAGTGAATTCATAATTTCATGTGAGGGCCACATCTATTTCCTAGAAAGGCCACATGTGGCCCGTGGGCTGCAGTTTGGGTGTCCCTGGTCTACAGCTTAATCAATGACACTAAAGAGACATGTTTCATTTCATGGTGGAGCTGATTCTCACCAATACTTTTCTTTTTTGTCATCAGAATGATAAAGATGATATAGATAATATCATTGAAGAAGTAAATGCCATCTCCGGTGAAACTCACATACAAGTCAGTGTTGAGAAAACCACAAGTAAGTTTCACTCTTTTTTGTATCCAAATTGCTCACTTTTTTATTGCTATATTTAAGGCTGTGTATTCAGCTATGATTACACATAATTATACTGTAATTTGATTGTTTTTTGAAGAAAAGTTTAATTTTTAAAATAAGAATTGCACATGTAAGTTCCAGCAATGTTTGAATAAAATATAGTATTAAATGGAAAATAATAAGTACAGTATGACCTGCAAGTGTCCTCACCCAGGTGCCTTAAGTGCCAAGACAACCATCTCTTTCTTAAATATCTTAATACTGAGTTTGGTAGATGGCAACTATCCAGGAATACAGTAAACCCTCGATGTAACAAACCCCAGTGTAACAAACTTGAAATTATGGGCAGAATCCCTTAGGTTTATAAATTGTACTTTTAACTCCTTTATTTTCAGTGCTTATTGCAGTATATCAGTAAATTGTTCCTTATGGGTTCAGCACTTAATTTTGATTGTAATAATAATCAGTAAATTGTGTGTACAGATTTGGTCTCATTCTGTGTTAGAGGCTTATCTCTTGAAATACTGCACTAACCTCAGTATTACCACCATTAAGAAAGAATATCCAGAAATTAAAATACAGTGGACCCCCGCTTAACGATCACCTCCCAATGCGACCAGTTATGTAAGTGTATTTATGTAAGTGCGTTTGTACGTGTATGTTTGGGGGTCTGAAATGGACTAATCTACTTCACAATATTCCTTATGGGAACAAATTCGGTCAGTACTGGCACCTGAACATACTTCTGGAATGAAAAAATATCGTTATCCGGGGGTCCACTGTACACCTGTATTTTAAGTGCAGCAAATTGAGTAAGCACATTTTCAATAAAAATCTGTGGTTGGTAGTTTTTATCTAAGGGTAGTGTGCCAATCCAAAACAAATTGGTCATTGTAAAATGAAATTCACATATCCTTACTCTTTTTACTAAGTTGCTTTGGGGCTTTTACCACTTAAATATTTTAATAAGTTGTGCATAGCTTAGTTTTTTAATGTCAGACACAATACTAACATAGATGGTCTTGAAGGATGAACCTTGATACTGAAAAACTCTTGATACAATGATCTGGAGCTACCCTTCCCAACCTTCCATACAACATGATTATCTTTCCTTCCCTGTCAGGCACTCTATAACCCTTACTAGTTTAGCTCTTCCCAATAGAGTTGACCCTCGGGTAATGGCGGCATCGGCTAATGCCAAAATCGGATAGTGGCACGTTTTTGCATCAAAATATTGGCTTGGCTAACGCCCAGGAACTCGGTTAAGGGCATTCGTCCTGAATGTGTCCATGCAGTCTGAGTCCGTGTAAAGCCAGTGTGCCATTGTTTACAAGCCTGGGAGGACGATTCCTCACATACATGCGATATATTTTGTATTATTCCATTGTTTTTAGTGCTTGTAACTGCTAAATAAGCCACCATGGGACCAGAGAAAGCTTCTAGTACTAGCCCTGTGGTAAGGAAGGAAAGAAGCACAATAGAATTCAAGAAAAAACTTGTAGCAAAGTACCAAAGTGGAGGAGGAAGAGAGGGGTGAATGCGCCTTCTGCAGTGATTCAGTGATTCTACGATATGTACGATACTAAAGCAGCAGGTATCAATAAAGGCTATAATGCCAGCCAGTGATAAAGTGTAGAATTAACAGTGTAGTAAGTAAGTTAAGCAAGTAAGCGATAGAAAAGCGACATGAGAGAACTCTCCAATGTTGTTGGATGTCCATCAGGCCAATGAACATATGCCGCCCTGCTATGTATCTTCCACCACCCTAAACCTCCGCCAGCATCTCCTCCATCAAATTAACTGATTAAACTAACATCTCCTCCAAGGTAAGTGTAAATATAAAAGTGTAAGTGTAAAAGTAAATGTAAGTGTAAATATAAAAGAACCCCAATGGAAATATGTAAGTCACTCTGACTTTTTTGGGCTCTCCTAGGTACTTTACACATATGCTGCTATGTATGATAATCAGTGTATATAACTGTATTTGTGTATACCTGAATAAACTTATTTATAAATTAAAATGTAAATGTATCTTATTTATAAATTAAAATGTAAATATTTCTTATTTATAAATTACATATGTTGTTTAAGTGTGAATAGTGTTGGTGGGTTCTGCTGGTGCCTCCAGCAACATCACCACTATGTACGACTTATCTCAGTGGCCCTTATAAACCCAACAACAACATTTCCATCACTTACTCCTCTCATATATTATGACATATTTTATTCATTCTAGAATTGTGATAAATAAGCCGTAGAGATGATATTAGCGTTGTATTGAAGCATAATAAACTCATCTCCCTCTTGCCTCCTACTTGTCTTCCATACACCAACAGGAGTCAGTAAAGGTAAGTGTGATGTTAAATGTTCATTTATCCATTTTATTAGTGCTTTATATTTATTTGCCATTTTTTATATGTAGATCTATATTTAATCTTAAAAAAAAAAAATATTTTTTTTTAATACTTTTTGGCTGTCTGAAACAGGTTAATTGGATTTCCATTATTTCTTATGGGGAAAATTAAGTCGGTTCAAGGCAAAATCGATTAAAGCCAAGCTCTCTGGAACGGATTAATGCTGTTACCTGACGTCCACTATATATGTAATAGCATTAGATTGATCTTGCATAAGGATACATTTTTAAGAGAATTCAGATCGTAGAAATTACATGATGGTGTGGGGGTTGTCAAAGTGGTTTAGGTATTTAGAATGCAGAAAAGGATGACCAAGAGGGCGTATAAATTGGGTGTGGAAGGAGGGAGGAGTTGATCTCAGAATGGAATAAGGTGATTTAGAGTGCATGTCAGATTGGAGTGGAGACGAAGGGTATTTATTTCTTTATGTGCTGTTGGAATGTGACCAAGGTAACATTTATAAAATAATTCAGGGAAACCAGTTAGCTGGACTTGAGTCCTGAAGGTGTGCAGTACAGTGCCTGTACTCTGAAGGAGGGTAGAGGTGGGCAGTACATTGCCTGTACTCTGAAGGATGGGTAGAGGTAGGCAGTACAATGCTTGTACTCTGAAGGAGGGGTAGAGGTGGGCAGTACAGTACTGGCACTCTGAAGGAGGGGTAGAGGTGTGCAGTACAATGCCTGTACTCTGAAGGAGGGGTAGAGGTGGGTAGTACAGTGCCTATACTCTGAAGGAGGGGTAAAGATGGGCAGTACAGTGCCTGTACTCTGAAGGAGGGGTAGAGATGTGCAGTACAGTGCCTGTACTCTGAAGGAGGGGTAGGGGTGGGCAGTACAGTGCCTGTACTCTGAAGGAGGGGTAGAGGAGGGCAGTATAGTGCCTGTACTCTGAAGGAAGGGTAGAGGTGGGCAGTACAATGCCTGTACTCTGAAGGAGGGGTAGAGGTGGGCAGTACAGTGCCTGCACTCTGAAGGAGGGGTAGAGGTGTGTGGTACAGTGCCTGTACTCTGAAGGAAGGGTGGAGGTGGGTAGTACAGTGCCTGCACTCTGTAGGAGAGGTAGAGGTGGGCAGTACAGTGCCTGCACTCTGAAGGAGGGGTAGGGGTGGGCAGTACAGTGCCTGTACTCTGAGGGAGGGGTAGAGGTGTGCAGTACAGTGCCTGTACTCTGAAAGAGGGGTAGAGGTGGGCAGTACAGTGCCTGTACTCTGATGGAGGGGTAGAGGTGGGCAGTACAGTGCCTGCACTCTGAAGGAGGGGTAGAGGTGGGCAGTCCAGTGCCTGTATTTTGAAGGAAGGGTAGAGGTGGGCAGTACAGTGCCTGTGCTCTGAAGGTAGGGTAGAGGCGGGCAGTACAGTGCCTGCACTCTGAAGGAGGGGTAGAGGTGGGCAGTACAGTGCCTGCACCCTGAAGGAGGGGTAGAGGTGGGCAGTACAGTGCCTGCACCCTGAAGGAGGGGTGGAGGTGGTCAGTACAGTGCCTGCACTCTGAAGGAGGGGTGGAGATGGGCAGTACAGTGCCTGCACTCTGAAGGAGGGGTGGAGGCAGGCAGTGCAGTGCCTGCACTCTGAAGGAGGGGTAGAGGTGGGCAGTACAGTGCCTGCACTCTGAAGGAGGGGTGGAGGTGGGCAGTACAGTGCCTGCACTCTGAAGGAGGGGTGGAGGTGGGCAGTACAGTGCCTGCACTCTGAAGGAGGGGTGGAGATGGGCAGTACAGTACGTGCACTCTAAAGGAAGGGCTGGGATATTGCTGTTTGGGGGGGGTCATGATACCTTTTAAATGAAGAGTGAGAGACAGCTGATGAGTTAAAAAAAACAAGTTTGAATGTTGCTGTATACAGTATACTGTATTGTAATCACCACTTGCAAAGCAAATTTAATGTTCAATCATTCATTACTAAATAGCTGACATTGCTTAGGTAATAATTTAGGTAACTGCTCCAAAAATGCTGCAATGTGTTTTCTTTAATAGATAATAAAGCCACCCGAAATCTACTGTTGGTGGAACATAAACACCTGAACCCCCAGAACGAAATGAAGCGGATATTTGGCTCAAAGGTTGTGCAAGCTTATGAAAACAAGTAAGTATGTTGTGATCGATGTGTCTGGCTGTAATTTAATGCTATTTTCCTCTCTAGAAACATTGATATGAGATTACTGTCCTTTGAACTTCATTTCACAGTATCTCATGTATGTAAATGACTATCATGGCAGTGAGACCACTCTTCTTTCAAGCATTAAGAGTTTAATCTTTTAATTTGATTTAATACCTATATTATGCACCCCTGTGTGCACATAATAGGTTCAGAACCTAGATCTAGCTAAACAAGTTAGTTGGATGACCTGTTTCTAATAGACTTATTTGGGATATTTGGCTATTATTAAATATTTGGACATTTCCAGATATTTCACATTACAGCACTGGTCATAATTTTGCAAGATACAGACTCCCAGATATCCTAATATCTTGCCAAGCTAACATCTCTGTGCAATACCATATCATTAAACTGATTGTTAATATATAACAGGTGTTTTCAGAGTAATCCTTGTAAATGTAAAATAAAGTATATTTGCAAAAACATACAATAAGGGGAACAATTTAAGGCACAGAATAAGAGAAAGTGCAGTAAAAACGTTGGATTATTACTGTTATTATTATTATATTATTATAATTATTCATCATGGAGGGAGAGAGTATGGAGGAGGTGAACGTATTCAGATATTTGGGAGTGGACGTGTCAGCGGATGGGTCTATGAAAGATGAGGTGAATCATAGAATTGATGAGGGAAAAAGAGTGAGTGGTGCACTTAGGAGTCTGTGGAGACAAAGAACTTTGTCCTTGGAGGCAAAGAGGGGAATGTATGAGAGTATAGTTTTACCAACGCTCTTATATGGGTGTGAAGCGTGGGTGATGACTGTTGCAGCGAGGAAAAGGGCTGGAGGCAGTGGAGATGTCATGTCTGAGGGCAATGTGTGGTGTGAATATAATGCAGAGAATTCGTAGTTTGGAAGTTAGGAGGAGGTGCGGGATTACCAAAACTGTTGTCCAGGGGGCTGAGGAAGGGTTTTGAGGTGGTTCGGACATGTAGAGAGAATGGAGCGAAACAGAATGACTTCAAGAGTGTATCAGTCTGTAGTGGAAGGAAGGCGGGTGGGGGTTGGCCTAGGAAGGGTTGGAGGGAGGGGGTAAAGGAGGTTTTGTGTGCGAGGGGCTTGGACTTCCACAGGCATGCGTGAGCGTGTTTGATAGGAGTGAATGGAGACAAATGGTTTTTAATACTTGACGTGCTGTTGGAGTGTGAGCAAAGTAACATTTATGAAGGGATTCAGGGAAACCGGCAGGCCGGACTTGAGTCCTGGAGATGGGAAGTACAGTGCCTGCACTCTGAAGGAGGGGTGTTAATGTTGCAGTTTAAAAACTGTAGTGTAAAGCACCCTTCTGGCAAGACAGTGATGGAGTGAATGATGGTGAAAGTTTTTCTTTTTCGGGCCACCCTGCCTTGGTGGGAATCGGCCAGTGTGATAATAATAAATAAATAAATAATAAATATAATTATTATTGTTTGTGCTCAGCACTGCATTATCCTTTAGGGTTACATGCTTAGACTGATAATAATAATAATAATAATAATAACAATGGTATTATTGTTATTAGTTAGGGATTGTGCAAATTAAGTCTTTTTCAGCAAACGTCGTGGTAGAACTGGTAGATCAATAAGGTCATCGTGGATTGTTCAAGGACATCCACATTGGGCGCATCATCCTCGACCAGGTATATCCATGGTTGTGGCTGAGTCAACACCATCCTATCCTGTGTTCAAGTATGTCCATAGTCAAGCGTATCAGCAGTTCCAGTTCAAATTTCTTGAAGCTGTTGAATCTCTCAATCCTGAAAACATTATGGTTAGTGAATGAATTTTGAGTATATTATAGAGAATACCATCATTTAGTCTAATGATCCTAAATCTTTCACTGTCTCAATCCCCAATGTTATGAGTACTGACAGTGTCACAATTTTTAAAACAATATTTCAACCCAATTTCTAGCTAGTTTTCCATTCATTTGAGTGCAAGAAACTGCTTTTTTTTTAACTATGAGAATTACCCTGTTAAGAGCACAAAACTGTAATTTTACACATAATTCAACAAATTGCAATATATAAACAGTTCAAGAGAAACACTGTAGGCATTCCAGCCACTAGAGCAACCCTTTCTCTGTTCATTAATCACCAGGTCTCTTTCTCAGATTAATAAACTATAACTAAGACTGATGATGATTTAGGCCATCCCAAGAAACACTAAGATAAAACCATGAAAACCATCCTAGAAAATGCCACAAAACTGCTATTTTAAATTGAACACCAAATCTGAGCTTTTTCCATCATGCACTGCATGGGGTAGGATTTATTTTTATACTGTGCACACTCACCCCACAGACCCATTCTCTCATATCTAGGCCAAAATTTACTGCTCACATCATATTTGAGGATGCTGTGCTTAAAATATAGATCTATTATGTAATAATTGCAAATGAGCAATAAAAGATGCAAAAAACCACAGGGGGAGTTGAATGATAGCTCTAGGCCTTTTATGTTAGTACATCAAGAGCTTGCATTGTTGCAGAAATACAGTAGGAAATCCAGGCAGATTTGTCCAGGGGAATGACTTCCCCTGTGGTTATTTTGCATATAGATTTATGTACCACTGGCATCATTGATATAGAACTATGTGGGAGACAGTGAAAGGGTTGATAATAGTATAGTATATTTTTCAGAATACAATTTGTGGCTGAATAGAAATAATTTTTTAGCATAAAGCATAAGTGTGTGCAACATTTCTTCGTTTAATAGTTGTTACATAAAGCTTTTCATTTGTTTTTCTTGCTGCTATCAAGATCAGTGTTCATTGTCCATTGGGCTGTCTTCAAGCTAGTAAAAGTTGTTTATCAGCTTTAAAAACAGTGAATTAAAGATATGAATATTAAAAATTAAAGATATGAATATAGAGGTAGTAGGTTGGTAGACAGCAACCACCCAGGGAAGTACTACCGTCCTGCCAGATGACTGTGAAACAGAAACCTGTAACTGTTTTGCATGATGGTAGGATTGCTGGTTTCTTTTTCTGTCTCATAAACACGCTAGATAATAGGGATATCTTGCTACTCCTACTTTCACTTTGGTCACACTTCACAGACACGCACATGCATATATATATATATACGTACATCTAGGTTTTTCTCCTTTTTCTAAATAGCTCTTGTTCCTCTTTATTTCTTCTATTGTCCATGGGGAAGTGGAAAAGAATCTTTCCTCCGTAAGCCATGCGTGTCGTATGAGGCAACTAAAATGCCGGGAGCAATGGGCTAGTAACCCCTTCTCCTGTAGACATTTACTAAAAAAGAGAAGAAGAAAAACTTTATAAAACTGGGATGCTTAAATGTGTGTGGATGTAGTGCGGATGACAAGAAACAGATGATTGCTGATGATATGAATGAAAAGAAGTTGGATGTCCTGGCCCTAAGCGAAACAAAGCTGAAGGGGTAGGGAGTTTCGGTGGGGGGAAATAAATGGGATTAAATCTGGAGTATCGAGAGAGTTAGAGCAAAGGAAGGGGTAGCAGTTAATGTTGAATGATCAGTTATGGAAGGAGAAAAGAGAATATGAATGTGTAAATTCAAGAATTATGTGGGTTAAAATAAAGGTTGGATGCGAGAAGTGGGTCATAATAAGCGTGTATGCACCTGGAGAAGAGAGGAATGCAGAGGAGAGAGAGAGATTTTGGGAATGTTAAGTGAATGTATAGGACCTTTGAACCAAGTGAGAGAGTAATTGTGGTAGGGGACCTGAATGCTAAAGTAGAGAAACTTTTAGAGAGGGTGTGGTAGGTAAGTTTGGGGTACCAGGTGTAAATGATAATGGGGGCCCTTTGATTGAACTTTGTACAGAAAGGGGTTTAGCTATAGGTAATACATATTTTAAGAAAAAGAGGATAAATAGGTATACAAGATATGATGTAGGGCGAAATGACAGTAGTTTGTTGGATTATGTATTGGTAGATAAAAGACTGTTGAGTAGACTTCAGGATGTACATGTTTTATAGAGGGGCCACAGATATATCAGATCAATTTTTAGTTGTAGCTACACTGAGAGTAAAAGGTAGATGGGATACAAGGAGAATAGAAGCATCAGGGAAGAGAGAGGTGAAGGTTTATAAACTAAAAGAGGAGGCAGTTAGGGTAAGATATAAACAGCTATTGGAGGATAGATGGGCTAATGAGAGCATAGGCAATGGGGTCGAAGAGGTATGGGGTAGGTTTGGGAATGTAGTGTTATAGTGTTCAGCAGAAGTTTGTGGTTACAGGAAAGTGGGTGCGGGAGGGAAGAGGAGCGATTGGTGGAATGATGATGTGAAGAGAGTAGTAAGGGAGAAAAAGTTAGCATATGAGAAGTTTTTACAAAGTACAAGTGATGCAAGGAGGGAAAAGTATATGGAGAAAAAGAGAGAGGTTAAGAGAGTGGTGAAGCAATGTAAAAAGAGAGCAAATGAGAGAGTGGGTGAGATTGTTATCAACAAATTTTGTTGAAAATAAGAAAAAGTTTTGGAGTGAGATTAACAAGTTAAGAAAGCCTAGAGAACAAATGGATTTATCAGTTAAAAATAGGAGAGGAGAGCTATTAAATGGAGAGTTAGAGGTATTAGGAAGATGGAGGGAATATTTTGAGGAATTGTTAAATGTTGATGAAGATAGGGAAGCTGTGATTTCGTGTATAGGGCAAGGAGGAACGACATCTTGTAGGAGTGAGGAAGAGCCAGTTGTGAGTGTGGGGGAAGTTCGTGAGGCAGTAGGTAAAATGAAAGGGGGTAAGGCAGCCGGATTGATGGGATAAAGATAGAAATGTTAAAAGCAGTGGGGATATAGTTTTGGAGTGGTTGGTGCAATTATTTAATAAATGTATGGAAGAGGGTAAGGTACCTAGGGATTGGCAGAGAGCATGCATAGTTCCTTTGTATAAAGGCAAAGGGGATAAAAGAGAGTGCAAAAATTATAGGGGGATAAGTCTGCTGAGTATACCTGGTAAAGTGTATGGTAGAGTTATTATTGAAAGAATTAAGAGTAAGACGGAGAATAGGATAGCAGATGAACAAGGAGGCTTTAGGAAAGGTAGGGGGTGTGTGGACCAGGTGTTTACAGTGAAACATATAAGTGAACAGTATTTAGATAAGGCTAAAGAGGTCTTTGTGGCATTTATGCATTTGGAAAAGGCGTATGACAGGGTGGATAGGGGGGCAGTGTGGCAGATGTTGCAGGTGTATGGTGTAGGAGGTAGGTTACTGAAAGCAGTGAAGAGTTTTTACGAGGATAGTTAGGCTCAAGTTAGAGTATGTAGGAAAGAGGGAAATTATTTCCCAGTAAAAGTGGGCCTTAGACAGGGATGTGTGATGTCACCGTGGTTGTTTAATATATTTATAGATGGGGTTGTAAGAGAAGTAAATGCGAGGGTCTTGGCAAGAGGCGTGGAGTTAAAAGATAAAGAATCACACACAAAGTGGGAGTTGTCACAGTTGCTCTTTGCTGATGACACTGTGCTCTTGGGAGATTCTGAAGAGAAGTTGCAGAGATTGGTGGATGAATTTGGTAGGGTGTGCAAAAGAAGAAAATTGAAAGTTAATACAGGAAAGAGTAAGGTTATGAGGATAACAAAAAGATTAGGTGATGAAAGATTGGATATCAGATTGGAGGGAGAGAGTATGGAGGAGGTGAATGTATTCAGATATTTGGGAGTGGACGTGTCAGCGATGGGTCTATGAAAGATGAGGTGAATCATAGAATTGATGAGGGAAAAGGGTGAGTGGTGCACTTAGGAGTCTGTGGAGACAAAGAACTTTGTCCTTGGAGGCAAAGAGGGGAATGTATGAGAGTATAGTTTTACCAACGCTCTTATATGGGCATGAAGCATGGGTGATGAATGTTGCAGCGAGGAGAAGGCTGGAGGCAGTGGAGATGTCATGTCTGAGAGCAATGTGTGGTGTGAATATAATGCAGAGAATTCGTAGTTTGGAAGTTAGGAGGAGTGCGGGATTACCAAAACTGTTGTCCAGAGGGCTGAGGAAGGGTTGTTGAGGTGGTTCGGACATGTGGAAGAATGGAGCGAAACAGAATAACTTCAAGAGTGTATCAGTCTGCAGTGGAAGGAAGGCGGGTAGGGGTCGGCCTAGGAAAGGTTGGAGGGAGGGGTAAAGGAGGTTTTGTGTGCGAGGGGCTTGGACTTCCAGCAGGCAGCGTGAGCGTGTTTGATAGGAGTGAATGGAGACAAATGGTTTTTAATACTTGACGTGCTGTTGGAGTGTGAGCAAAGTAACATTTATGAAGGGGTTCAGGGAAACCGGCAGGCCGGACTTGAGTCCTGGAGATGGGAAGTACAGTGCCTGCACTCTGAAGGAGGGGTGTTAATGTTACAGTTTAAAAACTGTAGTGTAAAGCACCCTTCTGGCAAGACAGTGATGGAGTGAATGATGGTGAAAGTTTTTCTTTTTCGGGCCACCCTGCCTTGGTGGGAATTGGCCAGTGTGATAATAAAATAAAAAAAATAAAGTAATTACTTCCTATAAAGTTCATAGCTGCAGTTATTTCAAATTTCATCACTTGCAGAGTGATTCTGATAAGACTGAGGCTTAGAAGTATAATACTGAGAGTAATATTTTTGTAATTTGTTATTGATGTAGTGGTGATGGTGATAGTGATGTAGTGATGGTGATAGGGATATACAAGTCCACCATCACAAATCCGGCAATCAGTTATTCGGTTCCTTCAGTTATTCGGCACTAATTTTGGCTAGCATAATTTCAAATTTCCAGGGTCGCCACACCAACCTGCTGGTAATGTTTGGTGGCGCTACTTGCTGC